ATGATATAAATTCGTTGCCAAGATATATTAAGAGTGATCCTGAAAGGTAATAATTAAACATATATGTTTTGAAAAGAATATGAAGTTATTAAACATTTAAATATTTAATTTTTATTATATAGACTAAAACAGATATTAATAAATTTACTAACAAACCTGTAAGTATATTTCTTTTCGAAATTTAAAACAGTATCACTTATTAATTATTGTTCATATTATTAAAAAAATTATTTAGAATCAAATCTACCGGCGGTGAGATAATAGTAAAAGTTTATTTGAAATCAGAGAACGACAAAGATCGTAATCAAAAGGCTAAAAACGTATCATTATTAATTGAACTAAACAACACTTGCACTGGGTAAGTTAATAAATTATTAATTAGATGACATATTAATGCAATAGGTAAAATATATAAATTAATTTTTTAATTCATTTGCTACATTTATTATTATAGTATTGATACTGAGTTAGTAAATATTTGGCAAGGCAATTTAAAAGTCGATACATCACATAACAAGCAACAAAGTAATATGTTATTCAATCTAACAACATGTAAACGATTAGTAGAAATTAATGGAGGTGAAATGGGAGCAGAAAGTCAATTAGGAAAAGGAAGCAAATATTGGTTTACATGGAATATTGAAGTATTACCAATATCAGAAAAATATAACTATTTATCAAAAATATTAGTGGATGAACCAATTTTAAAACGAACGTTATTAATTCATCCATTTGAAAATGCAAGAAACGCAATAATAAATTCTTTTAAAAGTAAAGTAAAAGTTGATTTATTTGATACATATGATCAAGGAATTGAAGTAGCAAAATCTCATAAGGAAATATATAATCAATCACTTTATAGTACAGTATTTATCGATCTTTATGAAAATAATGTGGATGATGTTATAAAAGCCGTATCGAGGCTAAGGGAAATAAATGGGGATGATATATTAATTGTTTTCATGGTATTTTCAAGCAGTAATGGAAGGTCTTTGGTAAAAACATTAATTAAAACAATTGGAGGACGTATTACCACTATTTTTAAGCCAATTACACCCAAAAAATTAATTAATTTCTGTTAAAAAAAATCTATGAATAAATATTTAATAAAATGTAATAAATAAAAATTGTATCTAGTAATAGTTTTAAAGTTTATATTTGGAAATAATAGACTATTATTAATAGCACCATTATCTAGTAAGTTCAAAAAACCCTAACAGAGTAATTATACGGATTCAAAAAAAATCTCTAGTAGTAATTACAAGTGAGATTTAAGAATAAAAAAATTGTTAAGAACACAATAAGTTAATGAAACATGAAATCTACATATTCAGTAATCCTGCAATTTGCTAAAATTCATGATACAAATTCGTATAAATTCTGTAGTTACATGAATTAATCAAACACTTATAATTTGGTCAAAAGAAAGATCATTATTGTAGCACTCTATGTTGATATTGACCATCTTCATTATTATGTTGCATTGAATATGCAATTTGATTATAATCAAATACCTGGACTTGATTATTGTTTAAAAAATTTTCAGCGCTTAAATTGCTATATTCATTAAAGTAATAACATTGATTATTATGAAAAAGCATCGAATCCGTTGTTGTGTATTGAAAAGGCATTAAATTCATTGTGGTGTACTGAAAAGGCATTAAATCTATTGTGGAATATTGAGAAAGCACTAATTCCATTGCAGAACATTGATCATCTTTAGTGATATCATTATAATAAATATTTTCAAAATTAAGATTGTCGTGTTGACAATAATAAAAGTCTTGATCATTCAAATCTTGATCGTTCAAAATAGAACTTAAATTCATTTTTGGATGTTTATTTGTGCTATCAAATAATACAGATTTATGATTTAATATAATAAAATAAAAATAATATAATTTAATATTGAATATTTTCAAATATAATACTATAAATATTCTTTGATTCCATGCCTCTTTTCATTCATAATGTCAAGTGATGTTTCTTTAGTGATACATCCTATTAGAAATTAGCATAAAATATGTTTAGATTTATCTTACAATTTATATTAGTTAATGTTATTAAGGCAAATTGAAGCTGATTTTAGGCATTCGTGCCTTGGCAGTGACAAAAAATAAATTACCAATCAAAGTAAAAGATATATTAATTATCACATCTTTTCTGAAGATATCTTACATTCAATTTAAAATTTGATTTCTAACCATGAATTTAATATGTAATATTAAATTAAACCAACTTCAACTGTCCAGATAAAAAATATATTTATACATACTGTTTTCATTTTTCATATTTTCATGAATGATATTAAATGATTGACTTTTATTGTTTAAAAGTTTTTCCGAGTTCAGACTATCACCAGTGTGTGAAATTCAATGTTCTCCTGACTATCACATTGATATGAACAAAAAGCTTGATCTTTTTTTAAACGCTGACTAATTTTAGTAGATGATTCATGATCTAGCATAGGACTAAAATATATATTAATATTAAAACATTTTAATACTAAACAAAAATCATGTATATTTAATAGATACCTTTCATTCATTATGTCAAATAAATTTTCTTTAGTAATGTAATCTATCGAACGCAATTAATAATTAATAATTAAAAAGATAAAGATAACGATAATTTAAAATACAATATATTTTACCTCTAGCTGGCAAACAATTTAATTGAGTATAATGTAGTGTTAATGCTGTTTTTATAAGGGAACTTAATGACCGACTTGTAAATACAGCATCTGGATGGACTGCAATTTTTGTGACTTTGATTTTAGGAAGTTCGGTTTTACACTGGCGATCATAAGTAGTGCAACAAAAAAAAATTTTTTTTTAGATCGCAATATTTCACGCAATTCTGGGTCT